ATTGGTTGATTGCCTTGTCGTTCGAAGCGACTTCCTCTGTGATTGGCTGCTGCCCTTAAAGCCTCGGAAGTGTCATTTTTGGACTTGAGTGAAAACTTGGGCATATCGGTGTGGCGGCGGCTTCGAGCTGATTCATAACTCTCAGGAAGAAATGGCCACCAGAAAGCACTAAAACAGGTACGGCTGGGGTTTTTATCTCCACACGTTAAGAAGGGCTGTTGATTTAGTCGATGTGTCGGTTGTCTTGTTGTCGTGATTAATGTGTTTGTTCTCTCAAGCGTGCTCCGATTTCATTGTCTTTTTTCCACAACAAGCAAGCTCCAACTTTTTCTCAGGTTTCCGACCTTATTCTGAGAAGCTGACGACAAACTAGTCTCAACACCAACTCGTGTATATCTACTCTTTGTCCTCCCTCTTCATCACCTCTTTATTACCAGTTTACGCCTCATACTTTACAACTTTCTCGGCAGTTGGTCGAACGCTCTTCTCAGCCTCTTAAACTCAGCCTGACAAGCAGCACGAAGCATCCATTAAGTTTGGGTTTTCAGGGGCAAAGTTGCTACCTGCTAAAAATATTCCATGCCGATTTTTTTTAAAACGTTGTAAATCTTTTCAAAGTAAATAATATTTTACTATGATTGATCGTTTTTGCTGCCACTCGCGTAAACGTGGAAAACTAGTGATTTTCTAACGGAGTTCGGCTCAACCCGACTTTAAAAGACATACCAGGACCAAAAATGTGAGAAATTATGCGGCGTGACTTACTTTATTAAACATTTTATGTATTCTTGATTTTTTTTAAAGATGACAAGAGCAGCTCTACATTTTAAATTCTTCTGTCATTATCGTATTATCGCCGTCCTCTTTCACTTACACGAACAGCACGTACTGTCCTTTAGGTTAGACTTTCAGTCAAGAGTGTTATTACTTTTAAATAGTTTTCATGCCGAATTATTTTAAACAACTTATTTATAATAAAAAACAATGTACTGTTTTATTATGACTTATTATTGTTTGTCGACACCAGCACAAACTTAAAAATGGGAGTTTTCCCAGCAGAGTTCGGCTCAACTCAACTGTTGGAGCTCCAGAGCATGAGAAACCACGCAGAGTGAGCTATGCAGTCACACATTTTATGCATTCTCGAGCACTTTTAAAAAGACTGGAGAAGCCCCTGCAGTTGGCGGTGGGCGGGAGTTTATCTAGAAAATAACTGCAAAATACGGAAGTAACAGAAGCGAGCCACGACATGTCTGATGCCTCCTGCGCCGTTAATAATAATAATAGCGTGGGTTTGCATTTGAGTGCCTGTCATAGCTTTCCTGTTGCATGTGCAGCTTGCTCAGAGGAGCTGCCTCAGGCCTCTTTAAGGACATTCTAGCTGAGCTTTATCAACTTTACATTTAAATGCACACATTTTGGGGGCATTTAAATGCAACACTGAGGTTGATTTTAATATATATTCAGAACACTTTTGATGTAGAGGATATGTTTGTGGCCTCTGACATGCAATGTGTCATTTTTATTGTTTTTATTGTTGGCATACGGTATTTTAACCTCTTAGCATCCAACCATTTTTATTGACTCTTCACCCAAATGAGACTTCATTTGAAAGGTTGCATCTTCTAGTTTCTTCTTGGAAACTTGTGCTTGTTTAGCATGAAGCTAAAATCCGAACTAAGGTCATGAAAAATGACCTATTTACAGCCTCACCAGCTTAATTTCCTGTTCACGATACAGTATGTAGTACACAGTACACACTCTAACCATCGTGATACAAATTCAGTGTTTTCTTTCTCCGTCTAGGGCAGCATTAGATAAGTGTTTACAGCCCTGCTCCCTGATGTGTATTGAAGCAAAGACTATTGCACAAGTAGAGCATGAGTGGAGA